GAAAATCCTGGTCTATCACATTGTCTCTGGAGCAACAGAGCCCCTGAGCTCAGAAGGTCCCTTGATTTGGCTCAGAGCCTGTTACCTGCAATGAGTGCTGTGCTGGCTTCAGCTTCTGGGGACAGGGCCTCAGTGGCCTGTAGGATTGGGGTGGCCATCAGTTCTTCTGGAAAATTTAGCAAAGTGGAAAGGAAATGGAGTGAATTCTTTTGTTCTAAAACACGTTTGTCCTTCAATTTCACTACCCCACCTTCTTCCCTATTCAGACTTTTATCATTTAACTCCTATAGGACGTCTGTATAGAAAAACCTGGAGAATAGGGGAGAAAACAAACCACCACCAAAGACGATAAACATTTTGATGGATTTCCCTCTAACATAGTGGTTAAAGTATGGGCTCTAGAGCTGACTGACGAGGTTCCAATCTGAGCTCTTTTACTAGCTGTGTGATCTTCAGAAAATTACCTAACCCCTCTGTGCATCAGCATCCTCATTTGGAAAATAGAGATAACAGTACCTACTTTATAGGGTTGTTGCGACATGTATTAAGTAATTCAATAAGGGTAAGCTATTATTAGGAATACATTTTTGCATAAATGAGATCAAATGATAAATGTATATACATGTATATATCAATATTTTATATTATATGCCACATGCATTTCTTCACTGTTTTTACAAACTCTTTGTAAACATTATTTTTTAATAATGAAATAATGCTCCTTCCCTTATTAAAACCCTTTTCTACGCTTCCAGAGTAAGCCCTGCAATTTGAAAGGTTCTGAAATAAGGCCTCTCCTACCCTAAAATATATCCCGTATCTCCTGCTATCGGTCTATCTGTCCTTCAGAGCCTGAGAGTCCCACTCCTAAAGTCACTACCCAGACTTCTAAGAGTTTCCAAAAGAAGTCAGGAAGCCCTTCAGTTCTCTCCTAGATAGCATTTTAGTGCAGGGGTTTGAAAAGGTTAGTTACTGCAGGACAGAGGTATCCTGGGAAAGCAGTCTGACTGACCCTAAAATCACCCACAGGAGGCATCTCAGTATTCATTCAATAAATAATAATAGCAGCCCTCATTAACTCTCTGCTCTCTGCCAGGTGTGTGCCAGGCACACTGGGGGCAAGCGAGACAGACATGGTCTACCTTCCCCGAGCTCAGCCTCCACCACAGCAAGTTCACAGTTAAGAACTGTGATACATGTGGCAAAGGTAACTTCTGGGAGCTTAGGAGGGCATGTGGCAGAGGGGCCTGAGCTAGTCTTCCAGCAGGAACAGCCTCCCCAGGAAGCAGGATTTGAGCTGGGGGCCGAAGCAGGGGTAGGAGTTTACAGAGTGAAAGGGGTGGGAGGTGGGGCACATTCTAGGCAGAGGGAAGAGCCTGGATCAAAGCTCCAAGGTGAGAGGACCCAAAGGCCAGTGTGGCCGGAGCACAGGGCATGAGCCTGATTCCTGTCTCTCGCCCGACACCTTCAGGATTCCATCCAGGACAAGGGAAATTCAGTCACTAGCAGTGGTCTGGTGAGCCTGGGAGCAGTGCCAAGAGGGGTCAGTGGTGTTGAGAGACCTTCTCACACAGGCCAGGGGAGGCCTGTTGAACCGTCCTGGTCTTGCCACAGGAAAAGCAGATGTGGGCTGCCTGGATCGCCACCCTGCTCCCAGGGCCAGGCCAAACCCTTCTCCACTCTTTCTTTAGGAGAAGTGATACAGTCAGCTACTTTGTGGCTTCGGGCAAATGGTTACATCTCCCGATTCATCCATCCATTCTCATCGGTAACCAGTAGGAACTATATTAACCAACTCTGCAGGGCTATTGCAAAGGCTAAATGAGAAAACGTGCAGGCAAGCATCATTAAAAGGGAAAGTCGCTCCAGGTTTGAATCCTGCCCCAGCATAGTCCTAGGTAACCATGAGGAAGTTACCAAACCTCTCCGAGCCTCAGTTTCTCTCCCATGTGTAAAACAGGAGTGTGGTAGGCAGCTTCGAAGATGAATCCCAATGATTCCCACCTCCTGGTGTTTACATCCTTGTGTAAGCCCCTCCCCCCGTGTGTCGGCTGGACCCAGTGACTAGGTTCTAACAAACAGAACACAGCCAAAGTGATGGGCTGTCAATTCTGAGATTATACTGTGACTTCCATCAAAGACAAGCCCTGAAGTTTATCCACCTGATCACTGCTTCAGACTGCTGCCCCTCACCATGCACGCTTTCCTCCCCCAAATGTCCTAGGGCTGCACACCATCTTCCCACCATTGATCTAGAGTTCTATACAGCTGCTCTCAGTTTTGTCTTTCTTAAGCATTTGAGAACTTAAGACACACAAAGCACCAAGAGAATAATGTATGTACAGAAGCTTCAATATAAAGATGAGTAAGATTCAGTTCAATCGATCAACAAGAATTTAGTTTGTACCTACCACATGCCAGAGGCACTGTCATAGATGCTGGGCAAGCAGCAGTAATGAGGCTCACCAAGGACCCAACCATGGAGCTGAATTTTAGTGAGGCTTCAGAGAACAGATATGTATGAGTCCTCGGAAAGAGAATCCAGGAGGATAGATGATTCCTAGTTGGGAAATTCTGCAAATAATCCCAATTATAACAGCTGCCATTTGCTAAGTCCCTGCTTTGTGCTGGGCATTTCATATACATAATTATTAATCCTCAGAATACCAACCACTTCACAGCAGGTGTTTTTATCTGCCAATGTGGACCCTGAGGCCCGGGAAGAGTTAAGTGACATCCCTTGTATTACACATGAAGGAACAGGGGATGCAGCCAAGATCTGAATCCAGGACTAGCCCCTCCAAAGCCCAAGGTATTTATACTAAGCCTTCCTACCACTTTCCTTTTCTTTTTTTTCCAATAGGGAAAATGAGGAAGAGGTAACAAAAGGTAACTATGAGGCAGCACAACGAGCTTTCCAAAAGTGCGAGGTTTTAAAAGATATGGACAGTTGCGGAAGAAAAACCAGAGGAGCACAATCAAATACAGACCGTTGCATTACTAAGAGCTCTCCTTTAATGTGAGCTTGCTCACGGGCGACTGGGCAGCAGGGAATGGTATCAGAATGGTATCAGTCACGTTGGTTCATATGCAACCTCAAGCTTGCTACAACTCAAGAGCACGTTTCATCAATAAGGACCTTAAGAAACATAAAATGCACTAGAAGTACCTTCCTTGGACGCACTTATCAGTTGGTTTCCACTTACACTAAGCCATCTGGTGATGCAGTAAGTACAAATGAAGGAGGTGCAAAAAAAAATTACTTCTATACAAAAACATTACAAGAAGGCAGAGCCATGTAAGAAACTGACCTCTATATGAAATCTACCTCTATGAGAAAACACTAGAAGAAGGCAGATCCTGCATCAGATTTTTATTTTTGACGAAAATAACCTCTGTTGAAAGTTAAGTCTCTCTGGAACCAACTTCTAAAAGGAGGAAGCACACTCCCCAGGGCACAGGGGGTCTAGGACAGACAGGGATTCAAGGTTCAATGTTGGTGGAGATTTAACTGCCAATATTTTTTTTTTTTTTTGCGATACGCGGGCCTCTCACTGTTGTGGCCTCTCCCGTTGCGGAGCACGGGCTCCGGACGCGCAGGCCCAGCGGCCATGGCTCACGGGCCCAGCCGCTCTGCGGCATGTGGGATCTTCCCGGACCGGGGCACGGACCCGCGTCCCCTGCATCGGCAGGCGGACTCTCAACCACTGCGCCACCAGGGAAGCCCAACTGCCAATATTTTAATTCAGAATGTTGTATTTTTAGGGTTCTCGTTACAAAGTTTCATAAGTTTTGAGTGTTCTGTCCCAATTCTGTCTTTCCTGTAAGCCCATTTCCAGTAATGTGATTTCAGAATGTGAATCTTTTCAAAAATGCACATAAAGGTTAAAAGCAGAAACTTAGAAGAATAGTGTCAGGAAGCTCTATACAGCTCAAGTTGGCAAACACATTGGAAGGACAATTTAAAAAGTGTTATATTTGGAGCAAAAACAAGGAAATGGGCCAGGCTTGCTGTCTGGGCCTGAAGCTAAGAGGTAGGAGGTAACAGAGAAACTAGAACTCTCCCAGCCCATTTTGCCTCTGTCTCCTATCAAAGAGAATGATTTCTGCACTAAAGGAGAGCAGGAGCCTTGGTGACGTGGGGAATTGAGCTCAAGAGAAGGGACACAACCCAGAAAGCACCAAGCTAATCTAAAAGGGATCCAGGTAAGTGACAGCCAAGGGCACCGAAAGAACATGTAAATGGGATCGCTATTGATGATACAGGAGCTTCTGAGAAAGACAGAGGGGCCAGGAGCCTGAAGGGCCACAGGAAGAGGTGGATTCTGTAAACAACTGGTGAAATTGATATAGTTCCTCAGCAAAATTCTAGAACAAGTTATAAGGAACTGCTTTGGGGGTCCTGAACTTGAAACCACAAGCATTAAGAGTTAATGTGAGACCGCTAGGAGCAAGCTGGGTCAGACAAGTCACACAGCCTTTTTAGACTAAGGTTCAAGTTTCATAGACAGAGAAATTAAAAGGCTAATTCAACAAGTATTTACAGAGTGTGTACTTTGTGCCAGGGTCCGTTCAAGGTCCTGGGCATAGATTAATGAACACAATAAGCAAAAACTCATGCCTTCACAGTTCCTTAGAAAACTAAACAGAATTATCATATGATCCAGCAATTTTACTTCTGAGTATCTATCCAAAAGAAATGAAAGCAGGAACTCAAACAGATATTTGTACAACAATGTTCACAGCAGCATTATTCACAATAACTAAAGTGAAACAACTCAAATGTCCATCAACAGATGAACAGATAGACAAAATATGGTATATATATACACACACAATGGAATATTATTCAGCCTTAAAAAGGAAGGACGTTCTGACACGTGCTACTATGTGGATGAACTTTGAAGACATCATGCTAACTGAAATAAGCCAGTCACAAAAGGACAAATATCGTATGATTCCACTTGTCTGAGGTACCCAGAATAGTCAAATTCATAGAGACAGACAGTGGTTATCAAGAGCTGGGAAGAGGAGAGAATGAGGAGTTATTGTTTAATGGCTACCAAGTTTCAGTTTGGGATGATGAGAAAGTTCTAGAGAGGGATGATGGTGATGGTTGCACAACAATGTGAATGCACATAATGCCACTGAACTGTATCGTTTAAA